AAAAAAAAAAAAAAAAAAAAAAAAAAAAAAAAAAGGGGGCCGAGTGCGGTGGCTCATGCCTGTAATCCCAGCACTTTGGGAGGCCAAGGTGGGCGGATCACGAGGTCAAGAGATTGAGACCATCCTGGCCAACATGGTGAAACCCTGTCTCTACTAAAAAATACAAAAAGTTTAGCTGGGTGTAGTCCCAACTACTCGGGAGGCTGAGGCAGGAGAATTGCTGAACCCGGGAGGTGGAGGGTGCAGTGAGCCGAGGTTGCGTCATTGCACTCCAGTCTGGCGCCTGGTGCCAGAGCAAGACTCTGTCTCAGAAAAAAAAAAAAAGAAAGAAAAGGGAGAAGGAGAAGCACTCAGGACAAAAAAGATGATGAAAGGCAGAATAAGGAAAGAACATAGTTGGAGGTGACTAAGGAAATGCTTCCTAGCAAAGTGAAGTTTATGACAGCCATGTTCACAGTGGCATTATTCACAACAGCTACAAGGTGGAAGCAACCTAAGTGTGATGGCTAACTGTATATGCCAGCTGGACTGGGCCTGAGTGCCCAGACACTTGGTCAAGCATGATTCTGGGTGCATCTGTGAGGGTTTCTGGGTGAAACGAGCATTGAACTGACAGACTGAGTAAAGCAGACGGCCCTCCCCAGTGTGGGTGGGCATCATCCAATCTGCTGAAGGCCTGAGGACAAGAAAGAGGGTGACCCTCCTGCGGAGGTAGAGAGAACTCCTGCCTGACGGCCTGTAGAGCAAAACCACACCATGGCTCTCCTGGGCCTCTGGCTTGCTGACTGCAGATCTCACTGATCTCCATAATCCTGTGAACCAATTCCTTAAAATAAATCTTTCTATAGATTTACAAAGTACCCTATAGGTTTTGTTTCTCTAGAGAACCCCGACCGATATATGTACATTAACTGATGAATAAACAAAATGTAATACATCCATACAATGTAATATTAATCAGTTTTGTTTTTTTTTTAAGAGATGGGGTCCTTCCCTCTGGTTCAGGCTGACATGCAGTGGCATGATCATAGCTCACCACACCGTGAATTCCTAGGCACCAGGGATCCTCCCACCCAGCCTCCTGAATAACTAGGACTACAGGCATATCACCACACCCAGCTGGTTTTTAATTTTTGTAGAGACAGGATCTCAATAAATTGCCCAGCTCTCCAACTTCTGGCCTCAAGCAGTCCTCCTGCCTCAGTCTCCTGAGTTGCTGGGATTATAGGTGTGAGCCACCATGCTCAGCCTTATTCAGCTTTAAAAAGAAATTCTGATACACGCTACAATATGGATGAACCTTGAAGACATTATGCTAAGTGAAATATGAGGGTCATAAAAGGACAAATGCTGTATGCCGGCCGGGTGCAGGGGCTCACGCCTGTAATCCCAGCACTTTGGTAGGCCGAGAAGGGCATATCACAAGGTCAAAAGTTCGAGACCAGCCAGGCCAATATGGTGAAACCCTGTCTCTACTAAAAATATAAAAAATTAGCCAGGTATGGTGGTATGCACCTGTAATCCCAGCTACTCAGGAGGCTGAGGCAGAAGAATTGCTTGAACCCGGGAGGCAGAGGTTGCAGTGGGCTGAGATCATGCCATTGCACTCCAGCCTGGACGACAGAGTGAGACTCTGTCTCAAAAAAAGCTTCTTTTTATGTGAAGTTCCTAGAGTAGTCAACTTCATAGGGACAGGCAACAGAATGCTGATTGCCAGGGGTTAGAGAAGGGGAATTGAGAATTAGTGTTTAATGGGTATACAGCTTCAGCTGGGGAAGATAAAGGAGTTCAGAGATGAATGGTAGTGCTGGTTGCATAACAGTGTGAATGTGCTTAATGTCACTCAACTATATACTTCAAAATGGTTCAGATGATAACATTATTATTATTATTATTTTTGAGATGGAGTCTCGCTCTGTCACCCAGGCTGAAGTGCAGTAGCGTGATCTTGGCTCACTGCAATTTCCGCCTCCTGGGTTCAAACAATTCTCTGCCTCAGCCTCCCAACTAGCTGGAATTACAGGTGCCCATCACCATGCCTGGCTAATTTTTATATTTTTAGTAGAGACAGCGTTTCACCATCTTGGCCAGGCTGGTCTAGAACTCTATACCTTGTGATCCACCCACGATGGCCTCCCAAAGTACTGAGATTACAGGCGTGAGCCACTGTGCCAGGCGATAAACATTATTCTATGTATTTTACCACAATAAAAAAATATATATATACTTTTTTTTTCAAGTTTATTTGTAGGGTTTGGTTTTTTTTTTTTTTTTTTTTTTTTTTGAGACGGAGTTTCGCTCTTGTTACCCAGGCTGGAGTGCAATGGCGCGATCTCAGCTCACCGCAACCTCCGCCTCCTGGGTTCAAGCAATTCTCCTGCCTCAGCCTCCTGAGTAGCTGGGATTACAGGCACACACCACCATGCCCAGCTAATTTTTTGTAGCTTTAGTAGAGACGGGGTTTCACCATGTTGACCAGGATGGTCTCGATCTCTTGACCTTGTGATCCACCCGCCTCGGCCTCCCAAAGTGCTGGGATTACAGGCTTGAGCCACCGCGCCCGGCGTAGGGTTTGGTTTTAACGAGCAGCCTTTCAATTTATTAAAAGAGAAGGAGACGCTGAGTTATCAAGTAGTCCAGACAACATTTTCACTATTTAGCACCTGTCCTCCCTGATTACAAACAGAAGTTTGCTGGGTAAGTGGAGAATCAGAGCTAGAGCCAGAGAAGGACCTGATTGGTGGATTTTTTTTTTTTTTTTTTTTTTTTGAGACAGGGTCTTGCTCTGTCACCCAGGCTGGAGTGCAGTGGCATGATCATAGCTCATCCTCCCTTGATCTGCTAGGCTCAAATAATCCTTCTGCCTCATCCTTCTGAAGTGCTGGGATTACAGGCGTGAGCCACCATGCTTTGCCAACTTCTTTGGTTTTTGTTTTGAGACAATGTCTCACTCTGTTGCCCAGGCTGGAGTGGAGAGGTGAGACCACAGCTCACTGCAGCCTCATCTCCTAGGCTCAAGCAATCCTCTTGCCTCAGCCTCCCAAGTAGTGGGGATTACAGGTGTGTGCCCCTATGCCTGGCTAATTTTTTTTATTTTTAGTAGAGGTGAGGTCTTGTTATGTTGCCCAGGCTGGTATTGAACTGCTGAGCTCAAGCAATCCTCCCATCTCAGCCTCCCAAAATGCTGGGATTGCAGGATCTTAACAGCTGGGTTCCTATAGCTCTGATGGCCAGATACCCTCTCCATTGTATGGACAACAGCAGAAGGGAGTTTGAAAAAGGTGTTGGAATGAATTAGTGAAAAGCGAAAAGCATTCTAAAGTGAATTACAAAGGTTCTACTGACGCCAACGATGCTCCGTCAGATGGAATGGTCATTTGCACTTGCTTTAGGTGCTCGGCAGTGCCCATGCTGCCCCTCCTTTTGTCTATACTCCTGGAAAGTAGTGAATTCCATTTTTCTTAAGGTTTAAGAGGCTCCTACTCTAGGTACAGAAGGAGCCCTGCAGGTGAAAATGAAGGTTGGTAAGTACCTCAACGTCCCGCTTCAGTTTCTCCAGGAAGTTCTTTTTACTCTCTTCTCCCACGTGCAGCTTCTGCCCTTCATTGAGGAAGTCATTGTCTTTGAATGTTGGCAAGTCCTTGGCCTAGGAGAGCAACAGCAGTTAGGCTGGATAAGGCTGATTCATTCACCCCAGGGACACCCAACTGTTCTGCTGGGAGCAACCATACAGAAAGGGGAAGGGTCCTCAGTGTAGACACTCAACCTGCTAAATGAACAGTGTAGGAGCCTCTAGTCTGAGGCTTTGGGCAGGCAAGGAGGGCAAATACATGGCAAATACTTGAAAGACGAGGACTGACTAAAGGATTCTTTCCTGTTGAGCCTGGACCAGCTCAGGGCTCAGGCAGCCACTCACTGACTTAGGCTGGACTACGAGATGGGAATGTCTGCCATCCCAGGACGACTATGAAGAACCTAGTGATGGCAGAGGTAAAAGACTAGAGACCAAGGTCTAGGCCTAGCACAAGGACAGGCAGGTGATCAGTGACACAGAGCATTTCATGTTAACAGATGGCACGTCTGGGAGCTGGGCTAGGGGCTGCGATGGGCGATGGACGGGATGGCTGACAGGAGCTGTTTCTGACTCCAAGCGACCCTTTCATTCATGCTCAGCACCAGCATACCTTTTCCTTGTCACTTGCTTCTCTGGCAACCGTAGAACCCTGAAAGAGTAAGAGCCATCAGGGGAAGTCCAGCTGAGGCAAAGTCGACTGCATGAGCAAACATGAGAGAGCCAGCAGGTGAACTCAGTAGGCTGGTTAGAGTCCTAGAGGGCCCAGGAGGCAACACCTTGTTCATCTGCTCTGTGTCAAGCCCACTTATAGAGCTCAATGTACAAGACACTTGTTAGGTGCTCGGCAAACAGGACTGCGCTGGAGAAGTTCAGTCCCTGCCCTTAACAGGGGAGACAGATATTCAGCAGTGGTTCCACAGTCATTAGCTCACTCACTACCACTGGGCTCAGCGTTACAGGGAGGAGACAGGACACTCTGAAAGCACATACCACAGGGGCTGGGCCTGGACAGGGGAGGGACAGTGGCCAGAGCCTACCTACTTCCTGGAAGTAGTATTTGGGCTGAGCTTAGAAGGGCAAGAAGGAAGCAATTAGGTGGGGGAAGGAGGAGGTGGAGAAAGGGAAGGGGACTGTTCCAGGCAGCAGATGTGAAATCCCGGGAGGAGGAGGAGCGCTGCAGGAACGCAGAGGAAACCAGTGCAGCTGCAGCACAGAGGGAAGGGATGGCGGTGTAAGGTGACAGAAGGCAGAAGCCAGGATCAAGAACAAGGGGCACCCTGATTCACAGCCACAAGTGTGTCCTCCCCAGTGTCCAGAGATGCATTTGTGCTGTCAGTCCATGGGGGCCTGATGGATGCCAAAGTGGTGTGTTAGCATGGCTTGTCCCCATTCTACTGCCCTCGCTGTGCACATTCCACAGACAGGAACATCAATTGTTGGAGAAATACGGCACATTTAGGGCTTAAATAATCTCTTGTTACTGTCACCTGGATCTCAAACAGCCTTTGGTCCACAAGCATATCCACTCCAGAGTTCCCTGTCTGTGCTAATTACATTACCAGCTTTCCCAATTACATGGAAGTTGGCGTAGTGGCCGCTCTGGGCCTGAGAGAGAGGGGAGGCACAGCTCCAGCAAACACAGAGCCCTTTACCTTGAGGTCATACTTGCGATGCACAGTGAGCCGATGGCTGAACACGTTCCTGGTAACCACCATGTAGGTTTCCACACCATCCACAGTCAGGCGGTACATGCCCAGGAACTGTGGCAAAAGAGTGTTGCCATGACACTCCACTATAAACTAGGATGGAAAGAAAGAAGAGAAAGAAGACTAAGCAACAGGCAGGTGCCAGCGACGGACAGGGCTCTCCCCAGACTAAAATGCTCCCTGGCTCCCTGGGATTCTAACCTCTAGACCAGTCATTCTCCAGTTGGGTCCTATGAAGTAATAGGGGTTTCTCAGGCTTAAAACAGGCAACAGCCGCCTCCATCCTCCTGCTGGCATGGCAGAGGGAGAGGTGGTCTGAGCAGGTGGCTCAGAGCCCCTGGGGGTTCATGTTATTAGAATCTTACCTAAGATTTTGTTTAAAATAGGATTTTACCACAGGAAAATCCCTGATCCAACACCTTGCATCTCCTCTGCCAGCCTGATATGGGAAAGTCACAGGGAAGAGAAAGGGTGCAGAGGCAGGTCAGGGATCCAGCCATCTGGGAGAAGAGAACAGCTCCATACCCAAACTCTTATCCATGCCATGCCCTGGGGTTTCTACCATAACTCCCAAAAGACCAGAAATTCCCTTCAGCCCTTCTCAGGTGCCCCAGAAATGAAGACCCAAGCAGGCTAAGGACAGACACACAGATGGTGCCACGGGGCTCCCTGCCTTCCTCATGGACAGGTTCCAGATGAGTGGAGATGGGACGGGAAGAGAAACAAGCCTGCTGAGGCAATGGGGCCTCTTTCAGAAGAAACAGGGCAGATGCCAGGGCGTGAACACTTTCCAGCTGAGCCTCGTCACTGATGTGCCTTCACCGCTCCTGTTTTTTTTTTTTTTAAAGTAGGCATTTCAGCTCACAGAAATGTGGCTGCAGGAGAGTCCTGCTGCTTGGTGATCAGGAAGCAGCTGCCATTACCAAAGAGGACTAACCCCTCCCTAAGAAGCTCCCCTGGGGCTCCCTTCTCCCTCTTCCAACCTATCCTCTGCAGCCCAGGCTTGGGACTCACCATACCTGGTGGTATTTCTTTAAGATGTTGTGCATCTCTGCCACGTCCTCACTGGACACAGTCTTGATGACAAAGCGCCGGTCGTAGGTGGTGAGGAAACGCGTGCCACACCGGCCCTGGCTGTCACTGTTGATGGGGGCGCTGCGCGTCACCGAATTCTGATAATCGAGACAAAAGCAGGCTGGGCTTGGCAGGGGAACAGGATTCTGACTTTCACTGAGTCTTCCCTCAGAGGCTGGACTGCTTGAAAGCCAACAACACTGAGATAGAGGGACTCCCAGATGGGAGCTTACCACCCCTTTTCTCACAGCGTTTTCACATCCCTCCCCAAGTCTTCCTTCAAAGTGACAAGAATTGTTCCTTACCACCCGCCCTTCATCCCAGTCTAGGATGGGAAGAGAAATGACTGTAAAAGTCTCCATCCTGATCCCAGAGAGCTACCCTACCAACTAAAATCCTGCCTCTGATGGAGGAGGCTGAGTCTAATCTGGACCCTCACATGCACTATGACCTTGGGTGAGCCATTTCACTTCTCTACCCTGCATTTCCTCATTGGGAACACAAAGAGGCGGACTGAGCTGAATCTCCCAGTGTCTTGGGGGTGGCAAAGATGAAGCTTGGGAAATACTGTTTTCAGGAGGTCTAACGCAAAGAAGCAATGCGCGGTCGTCTCTTGTCCCTGTATCTACCCTAATGCTGAAAAACCTTTCCCAATGCAGGAAGCTGGTCTTCATCTCTGAGCCTGACACCTTTCCCCTCACCTCAACCTCCTGCTTGTCTATGCAGGGCTGGGAGGCAGTTCTGGGGAGCTTTCCTGGCTATATCCCTGCTCCTCCTCAAGGCCCTACTCCCAATAGGATCAGAGAGCAGTAGAAGCCTCAAGAGGGAGGGTGGGGAAAGGCGTGAGTCAACCAAAGGGACATGTTCACCAAGCAAACACCAAGGGACCTTTGGGAGGCAAGGCTGAGGGGAGAGCCCAGGTGTCCCTGTTCCCAAAAAAACATATATGAGGATCATGTCACAGAAATGCCTCCTCTCCAAGCCCTTTCCCCATCTCTTAATGAGGATCCTGTTATTATTATTACTATTTGTGTAAAGATAGGGTCTCACTCTGTCACTCAAGCTGGAGTACAGTGGTGCAATCTCAGCTCACTACAGCTCTACCTCCTGGGCTCAAGTCATCCTCCCACCTCAGTCTACCAAGTAGCTGGGACTACAGGTGTGCACCACCAAGCCTGGCTGATTTTTGTAGTTTTTGCAGAGATGGGGTTTTGTCATGTTGCTCAGATTGGTCTAGAACTCCTGGGCTCAAGTAATACTACTGCCTCAGCCTCCCAAAATGCTAGAATTATAGGTGTGAGCCACCACACCTAGCCTTTTTTTAAATTTTCTTTTTTTGAGACAGTGTCTCACTGTCACCAGGCGCCAGGCTGGAGCGCAGTGGCGCGATCTCGGCTCACTGCAACCTCCGCCTCCCGGGTTCAAGCAATTCTCCTGCCTCAGCCTCCTGAGTAGCTGGGACTACAGGCATGCGCCACCATGCCCAGCTAATTTTTGTACTTTTAGTAGAGATGGGGTTTCACCATGCTGGACTGGATGGTCTCGACCTCTTGACCTCGTGATCCACCCACCTCGGCTTCCCAAAGTGCTGGGATTATAGGTGTGGGCCACCACACCCAGCCTTTTTTTTTTCCTCTTAAGGATGGTGTTTTGCTGTCACCCAAAGTGGAGTGCAGTGGTGCAATCATAGCCCACTGCAGCCTTTAACTCCTGGACACAAGGGATCCTCCTGCCTCAGCCTCCTGAGTAGCTGGGACTACAGGCATGCACCACCATGCCCGGCTGATTAGGATCCTACTCCTTACTTTCTCCTAATGCCTCCTCGCAAAACCCTGGGGGAGGAGTAGGGGAAACTAAAGTCAGAGGTGGCAAGCAGCTCTGGGAGTTCCTCAGCAAAGGTGCTAAAGTAGCACCCCTTGAAACAGGGCGTTCCCATTGCAGAAATGTTGAGTAGACTCTGTGACCGGGTGCCTCTTCCTCCCAGCCCGGCCTTTCTACCAGTAAGACTTAGAAGCTGCAAGCCTAGTTGGGAGGTAGAGGCAGCATCCCCTGACTCTCTCAGTGGCTGGCAGTCCCATACCAGAGGGTCCCCTCCCTGAGCAACATCCTCCCGGCCCTCATTTCAGTCATGACCACAGGCATGCATCCACAAGGCTATTAGGGGCAAAATGCAGACACTGAGAGGATGTAATTAGACAGCCCAGGAGACAGTCCTAGTGAGGGTTCCCCTCACTAGGAATCCCTCACCAAGGAACAATGGAAGGAAGATGTAAGAGCAACTTGGTTGCAACAGTGGCAAGAAGCTTCCAGAAATCCTCCAGCCCCAGTCATGATTAAGTTCAGGGTTCAATCCTAACAAGGGGCTGAAGGAACGTCCTAGTACCTCTTAGGTTGGGTATTCCTGGGCATTCAAGCCCCAGGAATCTCCCCCTCCTCTCATGGCCCCGCACCCTCCTCATCAGGATACTTTCTTTGCATGCAAGCCCTTCAGAAGGGAGGAGAGAGGGGAGAAGACTCTAACCCAAGGCCCATTCTGCTGCTGTGAACTACTCTGTGAAGGGGGTGGGGTGGCAAGAACTACAGTGCTAGCAAAGATTTGAGCATCCATTCTAGGTTTCACTGTGCTATGGGGCAAAGAGTTTTCCCCACAGACAAACGAAAGTCAGCTATGTTTCAGGTCGGGCACGGTGGCTCACAGCTGTAATCCCAGCACTTTGGGAAGCCAAGGTGGGCGGATCACAAGGACAGGAGTTCGAGACCAGCCTGGCCAACATATTGAAACTCTGTCTCTATTAAAAAAAATACAAAAAATTAACTGGGCAGGGTGGCAGACACCTATAATCCCAGCACTTTGGGAGGCTGAGGCAGGAGAATCACTTGAACCTGGGAGGCGGAGATTGCAGTGAGCTGAGATTGTGCCATTGCACTCCAGCCTGGGCAACAAGAGTGAAACTGTCTAAAAAGAAAAAAAGAAAAGAAAAGAAAATCAGCTAGATTTCCTACAGCTATAAAGGTGAAGTGGAAAATTCGTCCACCTTCACCACAAGGCTGTCTGCCAGGGAAGAGGATCCAAGGAGACATGCTAAGCGGAGAAGCGGCAGAAACCATGAACTATGAGTCACTCTAATGTCCGTGACACTGGGATTGATTCCTCCCAAGAGGCCAATGGCCTCTATGATGCTGTCACTCACTGGCATGCAAACTCCCCTCCCACCACCAGGCCAGGGCACAAGTTTAGGAGGTGACACTCATACCTGGCAAGAGGTTATACTACCCTTAAAGTCTTCCTTTTCTAATCTATTTTATCTGCTTTAAGAGGCCTCATTTCTTGCTGACAACAATTCTTTCTCTCTCTTTTTTTTTTTCCTTTGAGATGGAGTCTCACTCTGTCATCCAGGCTGGAGTGCAGTGGCACAATCACTGCAACCTCCACCTCCTGGATTCAAGCGATTCTCCTGCCTCAGCCTCCCAAGTAGCTATAGGCGCGTGCCACCATGCCCAGATAAATTTTTGGATTTTTAATAGAAATAGGGTTTCACTGTTAGCCAGGATGGTCTCAATCTGCTGACCTCATGATCAATCCACCTCAGCTCACCAAAGTGCTGAGATTACAGGCATGAGTCGCTGCATTGGGCTTTTTTTTATTTTTTTGAGACTGAGTTTTACTCTTGTCATCTAGGCTGGAGTGCAATGGCGCAATCTCAGCTCACTACAACCTCTGCCTCCCAGGTTCAAGCAATTCTCCTGCTTCAGCCTCCCAAGTAGCTGGGATTACACGCGCATATCACCATGCCTGGCTAATTTTGTATTTTTACTAGAGACAGGGTTTCACCATGTTGGCCAAGCTGGTCTCGAACTCCTGACCTCAGATGATCCACCCATCTTGGCCTCCCAAGGTGCTGGGATTACAGGCGTGAGCTACCACGCCCAACCCAATTCTTTCTCTTTGAAGTCAAACTACAGAGGAAAAGGGTTCTTCGGCTTAGACTGGAAATGTCAGACTAAAATGAAAGTGCTTCTGCAGCCCCCCTCTCTCCTGCTGCTCTCCCTCCCAAGGAGAGAAACCTGAGCCTGTTTGGCATCCTCAGAAGCACTTCTAAGGCCCTTGCCCTCCAAGGGGACCCCAGTGCTAGGGGAGAGACTGCCTGGGCTGGAGCAAGGCATGACAAGAAGACACAGCACAAGAATAGCAAAAACATTTTTATTCTCTACTTGTCCTGTGGCTTCCTGACCCCATTCCATTCCCTAACCCTCCGATATTGCCAAGAAACTCCATACCTGGTAATCCTGATCATCAATCCCAAACCTCTCCCGAAGGTTTCGGAACACCATGGGGCAATACTCCTTAAACTTAAATCGGCTGGGCAGGTTCTCCCTAGGGATAAGCAGAGACATGTCTTTGTGAACTGCCCCTTGCTGATCTTAATTATTTTTATTATTATCTGTAATAGAAACAGAGTCTTGCTATGTTGCCCAGGCTGATCTCAAACTCCTGAGTTCAAGCAATCCTCCCACCTCAGCCTCCCAAAGTGCTGGGATTACAGGCATGAGCCACCACACCCGGCCTCATCTATATTCTGACTTCAGAACTCCTCAGAGTGCATCCACAGATCGCCTGGATCTGAACAGCCTGCCATACTTAACACGTAGGTTTCTAGGCTCTTAGGAATTCTGAAGTTGAGTCTAGAAACAAATACTCCAAGGCTGGGCGTGGTGGCTCACGCCTGTAATCCCAGCACTTTGGGAGGCCGAGGCAGGTGGATCACGAGGTCAGGAGTTCAAGACCAGGCTGGCCACCATGTTGAAACCTTGTTTCTATTAAGAAAGAAAAGAAAAGAAAAGAATAGAAAAGAGAAGAGAAGAGAAGAGAAGAGAAGAGAAGAGAAGAGAAGAGAAGAGAAGAAGAGAAGAGAAGAGAAAGAAAAGAAACACTCCAGGTGATTCTGAGCATGTGAAAGGTTAAAAACTTTACATCTTGTATTCACCTTGTGAAAATTAATCCAGTGGTATACTTGTGATTTGTGCACTTCTATGTGTATGTTGCCCTTCAATAAAACATACATTAAAGAAAAAAACTCTTGCCCGCTGGGCCATGAACCTGAGTACAGGCTCCACCTCACAAGTGTGGTGCTCACTCAGTGGGAAGTGCATGTGAACATCTGCTATGCGGTGAAATCAGCCTGAATGCTATAGGGAAAAACCTCTCTCATCAGAGGGCCCCTCTCCTCTGGCCATATTCCTGTGGAAGCATCCTGAAAATGATCACACACAGGAACCCCACCCTGGGCTTCCACTGAGAAGTAAGAAAAGAGCGCCTGATTAAAGAGGTCCTCAGTCAATTCAGTGGGAACACAAAGTCCTGTCTGCTGGCACCAATCTCCACCCTCCCACTCCTTAGTCAATACAGACTCCCAGGAGGAGAATCACCTTGAAATGATGACTCCTACCAATCCGCCATCTTTACAACAGCTATCCTGCCTAGGAAGCCCCTTTCAGAAATATGTCCTCTGACTACTCCAGGATGACAGGCTTTAAGGAAATCAAAAGGAATGTCTTGGAAAGGAAGTGGCCTATCTGCCTTAACTACCTCATCTTCTAGTAAACAGCACCAGAATCTAATAAACAGCATATATAGTGCTGGTGCAGTGGCTCCCACCTGTAATCCTAGCATTTTTGGGAGGTCAAGGCTGGTGGGTCACCTGAGGTGAGGAGTTCAAGACCAGCCTGGCCAACATGGTGAAACCCCATCTCTACTAAAAGTACAAAAAATTAGCTGGGCGTGGTGGCGGATGCCTGTAATCCCAGCTACTCTGGAGCCTAAGGCAGGAGAATCACTTGAACCTGGGAGGCAGAGGCTGCAGTGAGCCGAGATTGCACCACTGCACTCCAACCTGGGCACCAAGAGTGAAACTTTGTCTCAAAAAAAAAAAAAAAATGTACATACACAGTTGTTGGAAGGACAAAAGGAATAAGGATAAAAGAAAATAAGAGATTGGGTTCTCTGCTTTAGGCCAAGATATCAAGGAGGTAGAACCTCACCAGAGGCCATGGACCCTGAAATGGGGAGTGGTGCAATGCCCACTTCCAGAGCCCTGACCTCCAGGTCAGAACAATCTTCTTTCTGGCCTCTGAGTTGAGGGCTGCCTCTCTCTCCTTAGGTGGCCACTTACCAGGTGGCAGCTATGGAGACAGACAGCTTCTAAAACAAGATGGTGTTCCTTACAATGGCAGACGGAGGTCACTAAGGGATGTTCTCAAGTCAATCTTCTCTCTGGACTAACAGTCTGGGAATGGTTGGGTGATATAACCCAGCTAGTGAAGTGGTAGGGACTGTGGGACAATGAAGAATAGAACCAGGATTCACATGCAGAAAGCAGAAAGTGTGAGCAGCAAACAGTCCCGGGGTGGTCCACAGAGTGGAAATTCAGGCCCCAAAGGGCTTAGAGCAGGCCCAAAACTCTGCCAGGTGAGGCAGCCACTAGAATGTTTCCAACAATGTCAGAGACAACCTTCAGACACTAGTGCTAATCCAAGAAGTCACAACAGACAAAAAATGGGAAGTGCTACTCTGGGTAGTGCTCTCGAGCCCCTAGCCTGTTGCTCATACACCAGCCAGCCAGAAAAGAACCTGGTGGTATCCCAAGCCAAGAACATGCCTGGCAGCCTCCTGCCTCAGACTAAGATCAAGATGGGGCCACTGCTACAGCCTCACACTGGATGCCTCAGCTCCTGAGCAGCTGACTTCCACCTGAGCTAGCTCTAGATGAATCACCCTGGGCCCAGTCATGTGCCCCACGGTCCACCGGAGGTAGGCTGATAAAGGAGTGAGATGCCAATACTAGGATGAGAGGCACATAACGAAGGCATTTTCCCAGCCATTATGTCCGCTCTGAGATCCAGGGGGTGCCTTGGCTCCCGCTATGCATAAGGTTTCAGAAGCTTCTGACCTGAGGGTAAGAACTGCCCACAAAACCTGAGTTCACTCAGCAGACAACTTACTTATTGAAGAGATGATTGTCCACCTTGATCTTGCTGTAGGCTTTGAAGTCATCTGGCATTAGCATGACAGGAACAGGGACATTGCTCAGCTCATTGATCTGAAAAGCAAGGAGGAAGTAAGGCTCTCAGCCAGGAGGCCACCTGCCTCAGAGACACTAAGCTACAATGTAAATGGCACCATCTCCCTAAAAGCACATCCAAGTTTCCCTTTCTGTCTTTTTTTGTTTGTTTGTTTGTTTTTTTGAGACAGGGTCTCATTCTGTCACCCAGGCTGAAGTGTAGTGGCACAATCATGGCTCACTCCAGCCTTGACCTCCTGGACTCAAGCAATCAACCCACCCAGCCCCACAAGTAGCTGAGACTACAAGTGGGCACCACCACATCCCGCTAATTTTTTTGTATTGTGTAGAGACAAGGTCTCACTGTCCTGAGCTCAAGCAATCCTCCTGCCTGGGCCTCCCAAAGTATTGGATTACTTGGGAGGTAATCCAAGCCCCAAGCCCCAGGTAACACCCAGCCCCTCCCTGTCTTTATTTCTGTTCTTCTCTTCAAATAAGTTCCCAACCTTGCCCTATTTACCTACAGAAATTCTTCACCCGGTAAGGGCCAGCTCAAAAGGCACTTCCTCCCTGAAGTTTCCCAAGATTCTCTAGACCATAAACACCCATTCCCATCTTGGAATTCCTGAAGATTTGTTTGTATCTGTCTTCTGGCCATCTCTCTCATATTGTAATTAACACTTATAACCTTGCCCTTGCCTGCTATAGTTAAGCTAGGCAATAGCGTATTTTATTTATACACACACACACACACACAGACACACACACACACACACAATTTTGAGACAGTTTCACTCTTGTTACCCAGGCTGGAGTGCAATGGCGCAATCTCAGCTCACTTGCAATCTCCACCTCCCAGGTTCAAGTGATTCTCCTGCCTCAGCCTCCTGAGTAGCTGGGATTACAGACATGCACCACCATGCCTGGCTAATTTTTTTTTTGTATTTTTAGTAGAGATGGGGTTTCACCATGTTGGTCAGGCAGGTCTCGAACTCCTGACCTCATGTGACCCACCCACCTTGGCCTCCCAAAATGCTGGGAATACAGGCATTGAGTCACCATGCCCAGCCTTAATTATATTTCTAAGCGAAGATCCTACTAATCTTTAGTGCTTGGTACCATTACTAGCATATATGGCAGGTACTTGATAAATATTTGTCAAATGCAATAATAAATGATCAGTAGGTAAATGTATCCCAACCTAAGTGGGTATTAAGGCCTTTGAACATCTTCATAAAAATTGTGGGTCATTCAAGAAATTAGCTCAAGACAGAAAAAAAACTGGATGGGTTTATATGGATATGTAACTCATAACCCCAAGGTAAATTTAAAGTGAGCAGAAGTAGATGTCTGGTCACTGTCCCACTCTGACCCTCCTGATAAAAACAGGGCCAGGCCTGCTACAGTGGCTCATGCCTATAATTCCAGTACTTTGGAAGGCTGAGGCAGCGGGAACACTTGAGGCAAAGAATTCTAGACCAGCCTGGGCAACACAGCAAGACTCTATCTCTTAAAAAAAAAAAAAAAAAAAAAGCCGGGGGCGGTGGCTCAAGCCTGTAATCCCAGCACTTTGGGAGGCCGAGGCGGGTGGATCACGAGGTCAAGAGATCGAGACCATCCTGGTCAACATGGTGAAACCCCGTCTCTACTAAAAATACAAAAAATTAGCTGGGCATGGTGGTGCATGCCTGTAATCCCAGCTACTCAGGAGGCTGAGGCAGGAGAATTGCCTGAACCCAGGAGGCGGAGGTTGCGGTGAGCCGAGATCCCCCCATTCCACCCCAGCCGGGGTAACATGGGTGAAACCCCGTCCTAAAAAAAAAAAAAAAAAATGAGAGTCCGAGGCAGGAGGATCAGCTGAGGTCAGCAGTTCAAGACCAGCCTGGCCAACATGGTGAAACTCTGTCTCTACTAAAAAATACACAAAAAATGTGCAGGGCATGATGGAAGGCACCTGTAATCCCAGCTACTCAGGAGACTGAGGCAGGAGAATTACATGAGCCCAGGAGGCAGAGGGTACAGTGGGCTGAGATTGAGCCACTGCACTCCAGCCTGGGCGACAAGAGACTCTGTCTCAAAATAAATAAATAAATAAATTGGCCAGGCATTGTGGTGTACACCTGTTGTCCTAGTTACTCATGAGGCTGAGGTAGGAGGATTGCTTGAGCCTATGAGTTTGAGGTTGCAGTGAGCTGACTGCACCACTGCACTGCACTCTAGCCTGGGCAAGAGTGAGACCTTGTCTCAAAAAATAAATTAAATAAAGCAGGGCCAGTTCCTGATGTCAAGTCCTGCCATACACTAAACTGGGGAAGATGGGACAGGATGCCTTGCCTCTACTGACAACAAACCTTCTCACTGTCTTTTGTCCCTTCAGGGAGCTGGTTCCTGGACAGGGAGTTGGCTTTCTATTGGTGCAGAGATGAGGGCAGATCCTGCCCTTCCCTACCTCAAGTTTAGCCAATTAGTGGTCTAATTAACCACAGATGTCCTCTCTCATCACAGCAGAGTATTTGACATTTGACCCTCAACCCCGTTGCCACTAATGCATTCAGGATTTAGAGAGGAAAACTTAGTTCTGACTTAATGGATTGGGGGGAGGGGGCACAGCCTTGTGTCTCCCAGACACTTTCCTTGCAAATCCTATTATCTCAATGAGGCCCCAGGTGGCAGTGAGGGGCTAACCTTGAGTCATTTATGCTCCTCTAGGAGCATAAATGGGGGAAATGGCATTTAATTTGATGCCCCTTTTATGTTGCAAACCTTTTTTATTTAGAAATGTCAGAGAATGGAGGACGTTCAAGTTAATGTAGTAACTGGGCTGGGGAATCATACCTTCTCAGAGTTGGTAAAAACCCAATTTATTCACAGGGAAATGAAGGAAGCCACAGGAATGCATGTGCTTGGAAAGCGACGTGGGGGGGCAGTTTATGGTTGGCAGTGGAGCAGACTCAGTAAACTGCTGGCAAAAACTGACTGGCACAGACATAAGAGTGTATTCTGTATGATTCCATTTATATGTAAAATTCTACAACAGACATCTATAATGAGAGAAATGAGTTGCCTAGCCCGGAGGCAAGGGGTGCTGAGTGTAAAGGGACATGAGGAATGTGATTCCAGAGTGACAGAAATATTTTATATGTTGTTTGGGGTGATGGTTACATGAGCATATACATTAGCTGAAATTTATAAAATTGTATACTTAAAATATGCACATTATACATAAATTATTCCTCAATAAAGTTGATTTTTAAATTCTAAGCATCTAGCTCTGTGATACCCTTCATTGGATAAATCCTCCCAATAGCCAAAAAACCCCAAAAGACCCATGCCAGTTCCCATTCCAGGGAGTGCTCACAAGAGAATGTGATTGTCAAATCTGTGCCTACAGAGGAAACCATTCCACCTCCTTGTTTTTCTGCCAACAGAAACAATTCATGGTGGCTGTCCCATTTCCTTTTTCCTGGCATACCAAGCCTGGCTCTGAGACTTAAAGGGAAAACAGAGACAAAGAGTTCAGGGCTCTTCCACAGTTCTGCCTTTTCTGGCTCATAGCTCCATGATAGAAAGAACATGCCATTGCCTCAAAGAGTAAGGTTGTAGAGCAAAACATTAAAGTATCTGCTACAAATTGATTCTGGGTTCGTCTAAAATCCAAACTTGATGCCAAGGCCGGGGCTTGATACTAGGGGAACTAGAAAAGACTAAAACACTGGCTTGAGAGGGATCAATTGCTCCTTAGCCAAGATGAGTTATTCTAACAGGAACTATTCAGGAATGTTCTATTCATTAATTTATTCTCATTTCATCTCTATTCGTTTTTAAAAATTTATTATTTAATTAGGTTCAATTCAGGTATAATTCATCTCTATTCTTGATTATACACCCCAATAGCAGGAAATTTTCTTTTCCTTTTTTTTCTTCCAGGACAGTCTCACTCTGCTGCCCAGGCTTGAGTGCAGTGGTACGATCTTGCCTCACTGCAACCTCTGCCTCAAGGGCTCAAGCGATCATCCTGCCTCAGCCTCCCAAGTAGCTGAGATTACAAGCAGGCGCCACCACGCCTGGCTAACTTTTGTATTTTTAGTAGATACAGGGTCTCACAATGTTAACCAGACTGGTCTCAAACTCCTGACCTCAAGTAATTTGCCAGCCTTGGCTTCCCAAAGTGCTGGGATTACAGGTGTGAGCCATGGTACCCAGTCTAAGAAATTTTTAACTCAGCTAACATTGGTGAATAATCCATCTCTCAAGCAGGGGAGACTCACCCCTTATTTCTACTAGGCTACATGTAGATGATTCACTGTAGGGATTAGCCACATTATTATTAATATTTTAGTTTTGCAAAATTTTATATCCCAGAGAGTTCTATTCCATTTCAGTTCAACAGTTCCTATCGAAATATCTACTATGTGCTTCATTCTGTTAGGTAAGTGTATGGGAGGAGAACACAAGGCAATAAAGCGTTGTACACGTAAAACAATCAGGAGGCTTATAATCTCATCAGGGAGATGAGAAAAAGCCCTGACACAATACAACTCAAAGTCAAAGCAGTATACAATTAAGTGAGAATCCAGGGATACAGACAAGAACAGCAGAGGCTCTGAGAAGGATGAAGTTAGCATGGCCAGAGGGTCAGGCTCCCAACCCTCATACATCAGGCCAGAAACAAGGCACCTAATGCCTCTCCTGGTATTGCACCAAGAGCAGTTGACACGGGAAGAATCTACAAGATCATGTTACACTACTGCTCAGAAATCTTCCATAGCTCCTCGTCAACCTCAGGGTAAAGTTTTAACTGCTTAGCCTGGCACTCAAGGTCTTTCCCAATCTGGCTCAGACTGCCAAATTTCTATTCAATTTACTTCTACTCAGTGTACCAAGGGCCTTACTATATGCCAGGAGCTGGGGATACAGAAACAGAAAGACATCTCCAGGGCTGGGCGTGGTGGTTCACTCCTATAATCCCAGAACTTTGGGAGGCCAAGGCAGGCAGATCACTTGAGGCCAGGAGTCTGAGACCAGCCTGGCCAATATAG